TTTTGTAATGAGTTTTAAAATTTTCTGTTTATGATCCTCTTTTTCATGCTAATATTGTTTTTGTGTGTGTGTGTGTGTGTGTGTGTGTGTGTGTGTGTGCGCGCACCTAGGTTCTTGTTTATCATTAAGATCTTAATTTTTTCAGCATTCATAGCATAATTTTTTAAAGTGTTCAAGAAAGGCAACCTGTTTTAGATGAATTATTAAATTCATTTCTAATTAGAAAAGTTTGACTTATCCAAGAGATGGATGATCATTTCACTTAGCCTACAAATTTTCTGTATTTTTTCTCATATTTTGTCTAAAAAGCAGTAATTCACTGGTTTTCATATTTTGAGTTAGATGCATTATATTCCCTGAATATTGGGGCTCAGGTTTGGGTATTAGAAGGGCACCTTCTTTTTTGAATGACTTTCATCAAGTATTTTATTCATGAGAATTTTATAATTTTTGAACCATACCTCAAATCTCAGGGAAACATATAGGTAGGCATTATTAAAATAGGGAATGTGGCACATCTGTAGGGAACCCGTGGTTAATTGTTTGCTGTTCTGTGATGTCAAATATAATCCGTGAACCAGACCAGCCTATATAGCTAGTACTGCAGTCACATAGCCTACCTTTTTTGTATTTCCTTAATGACTAAAGATGTTTAATATCTTTAAGAGTGTTTACTTGCTATTTTTATATATCTTCTGGTGAAATGTGTGTTCACTTTTTTTGTGTGTGGTAGTTGCTTTCTGATGATATGTCCTTTTTGTAGTCTAGACATAAGTCCTTTAATAGGTAGGATACACAAATATTTTCTTATGATCTGTGACTTGTATTTTCAGTCTCTTCACTGCTGCACCTTTCTAAAAGAAGATGTTTTAATTTTAATAAATACAGTTTACCTTTTTATTCTTTCTATGGCTCATACTTTCCTATCATATATAAGAAAATTACCAAATAGAGAATCACAAAGATACATTTTTTTGTTTTCTTCAGTAAGTTTTATTGTTGTCAAAACTGTCTTTTCCACTGAATTACTTTTGCAACTTTGTAAAAAAAGCAAAAACAAAAACAGTATCCCAATCCTGTATAGGCTTATTCCCCTGCTGTCTTTCAGATTCTTTTACCTCTTTGTCTTTATGCCAGTATCTTACTGTCTTAATTACTGTATGTACTTTTATAAGTCTTAATATTAGATGTATTAGTCTTTCAGTTTTCTTTGTCATTTTCAATTTTTTTGGCTATTGTAGATATTTAGATTTCCATATAATTTTAGATTTTGCTTGACAATTTCTAAACAAAGTCTCTTTACATTTTTTTATAGTTTTAAGCTTTTAGGACTTGCCTATCTTCTACCAGATTTATACTACCCTTTTTTATGTTTTGAATGCTAATGTAAGTAATAATGTGATTTGATTTGATTTCTTTTCTAAGTGTAGTTTTCTAAATAAAGATAATTACAAAAGATTGAAAAATCAGCTCAGACAGGCCAATTACTTCTTTAATCAGTGTTTTTGACATGATAACTTGCATATATTTTAAATACTACCACAGAAAGCTTGATAGAGAAAATAAATTTTGCTTCATGCTTAGAAAAACTCACAATAAAACTTGACAGGAAAAACAAAAAAGAAAAAAAAGCCACTTTGAAAATATAGTCTGTGCCAAAGTAGTGTAATATGAAGCCAGAGACTTCGAAAAGGAAACATTTTTGTCCTAGTATTTTGTCACTTTTAAATTGGTTTCCTAAAATTGGGGAGATTCTCAGATTCAAGAGTTTCTGAGTTATTCCTATTTGACTCCTTTGGTTTTTTTTTTTTAACCACCACTGTCCTTGCATTTTTCTTTTTCCTTAACTTCTACTTTTGTGTGTGTGTGTGTGTGTGTTGGTACTGATGTTTAAACCTAGGGCCTTGTTTTTGGTCTTCTTGTCTTGGATCATAACTTTCTTTTGATCAGCCACTTTTCTGCAGTCTCTTTCCTGTTCATCCTACAATCTCGAGAATTCTTCATTACAAGCTATTTTGGTTTTTTTTTTTTTTTTTTGTCTGATGCTCGAATAGAAATTCTCTTGTCTGTGTCTTCATCTTTATCTCTATTGTATTCTTGAACAGCATCTTCTGGAATTGCTTGCATTTCACATATCAATTTCTAATTGTTTTTTGCTAGAATGCAATCAAGTTTTGAATGATGATCATGTATTCTGCATCCTTATTAAACCCCATCAGATTTTCCAGATAGATTATCATGTTATCTATGAACAAGAATGGCTTTACTTCTTCCTGTCCAACTTGGATGCCAAGAATCTCCAGTAGTATTGAATGGAAGTTTTGAGAGACGGCCTCCTTGTTTTGTTTCTAATCTTGGAGAAAATGTTTATCTTTCACCATTAACCTATGGTGTTAGCAATAGCTTTTTTGTAGATGCTTGTTTTTGGATTGAGGATGTTCCATGAATTGCCTAGTTTATTGATATTTTTCATAAGGAATGGATGTTAATATTTTGTCAAGTTCTTTTTTTGTCAATGAATATGTGTTTTTAAGATTTTGTGAATAGTATAGAATTATTTCTAAATAAGCCAATCTTTGACTTCTAGGATAAACCCTATGTACTCATGATTATTACATATACTTGAGTTTGATTTGTTGAAGTTTAAAAGAATTTTTAGTTCATGTTCATTAGGATATTGATCTATACATTTCTTGTACTCTCAGTGCCTCTCTCTCTCTCTCTTGTTCTCTCTTTCCTTCTCCCTCCATTGTTTCCTAAAATCTAGCTAGCTAATTTGGAAGAGATTAAGGACCAAGGTTTTTTAAATACAAGTTTTAAAAGTTATATCAGTACATGCCTCATTTGTGAATAGGTGTATGTGCACACTTTCAGATTTGGTAATTGTACACCTAACTACTATATTCATTTTATCATTATGTACTTTGTGCATATACAAATGAAAGTTTTTTCATTTGTAGTCTTGGACATATGATTAGAGGGTGGTTATTTCTAGTGCTCGTGTTCAATTTTAATACATACAATTTCATAGTAAGTTGTAATTATTCTGGTATAGCTGTAACAATAGCTTCTTTACTAAATATTTATTATGAGTAGGGTAGGTACTAATAGTTAATTTGCCTTTATCAGTTATGTATAAAAATGTTAAAGGGCTATAAAAATCTACTTGATCAGTCTTTGCACCACAGGACTTTGTTGACATCTGAGTTTAAGTTCTGCCAGCTATAATTTAGAAATTAAACTCCCTTACATGGACTTTGATTGTAAGAATAAATATCCCAGGGTTTTTTGTTTTTTTGTTTTTTGGTTTTTTTTTTAGATTATAGCTCACCATATAATAGCTTTTTATATAGCTTATTATCTGATACTTTGCTAACTACGTTTATAGACATTTTCTCATTTAAATAGACTTTGGAAGAAAAATCAGCCATTATTTAGTCTTCAAAATAATTTGTATAGGGGATATATATATATATGTCTCTATGGATGTATTCATTCCCTATGGCTGCTGTGATAAATACAACTTACACAACAGACATTCATTCTCTTACAGTTTTGGAGGCCAAAAGTCTGAGATAATGTCATTGATCCTGAAATCAAAATGCCCAGAGAACTGCATTTTATAGGGATGCTGTAGCAGAAAAATCTTACTTTCTAACTTTTTTCTGCTTCTAAAGTTGCATTCCTTGCTCATGGCTTCTTCCTCCACGGCTAGCAGCCATGTAACCTTTTTCTGATCAGTAGTAAAATCTCTCTTGTCTCACTCATGATGACATTTATTGGCTGCCTGGATAATCCTGAACAATCTCCCAATCTCAGGATTGTTAAGCATATATTCAAGTTTCTTTTGCCATAAATGATAACATTCGCAAGCTCCTCGGGATAGAATATGGGTATGTTTGGGAGACCATTGTTTAGCCTACCACAAAATTGTGTTTACTTATTTCTGTCAAAATGAAGTATAGAACACTCTGGAAACATATTAAAATAAGCAAAGTTTGAAAAGAAGTAGAACAGGTAGGTTGATAATATAAGCAAAAGATCCTGGAGCGCCTCTCTTTTTTTCTGAAATATTATATTATTGAGTGATTTTTTTTTTTTTGGAACAAGACATTAATCTCCAATTTTAAAATATATTTCCTCTTCTACTCTTCCCTATAAAGCCAGTGCTTAGTAATCAAAAGTCATGAATTCATGAATTGAAACACAGATTTACATAACCTGATACTGTGATTATTGCAGAATTACTCTGCCTTTGATATTTCAGTATGTCCATAATAAATGTTTCCTTTTTCCCTTTAAGCCTGTACCTTCTCTTTCACCTTTATTATTCTTGGCACTAATGAGGAGTAGACCAGTTTACTACCAGTGGTGGCACTTCAAGTAATAGGATGAAAATTTTTAGGATATAAGTCTAAAGTTTTCTTAACTTCTTTTTTTTGTGTGGTGGTACTGGGGCTTGAACTCAGGGTTTTGCACTTGCAAAGCAGGTACTCTACTGCTTGAGCAATGTCTCCAGGCCATTTTGCTGCGGTTCTTTTGGAGATGGGAATCTCACTACCTCAAACCACAATCCTCCCCTTCTCAGCCTCCCAAGTAGCTAGGAATACAAGTGTGAGCTACTGGCACTCATTGGGATTCTTAACTCTTTTTTTTCTTTTTTTTTTGGCAGTACTGTCGTTTGAACTTGGCCTCACCCTTGCTAGACAGGTGCACTATCAATTGAGCCGCTCCACCAGCCTAAGGTTTCTTAACTCTTTAGCTCACATCTGAAGTAGATTATTCTTTCATTATCATGCTAGTGTTTATGGTTAATCCCCTATGCATTGAAGAGAAAATTTCAGTTGGTACCTCTTTTGTAACATGGTTAATAACATGCTTTGGGGCATGCTTATTAGTGGCTTAAAGCCACTAATAAATATAGTTTAGCAAAGTAAGCTATGTCTTGTTACATAATTTGAAAGCTAAATGTTTATATTTTTTCCCCTAAACTTTAGGATACCAGAAGGCCCTATTGATCAGGGGCCAGCTACAGGAAGGGTACGTCATTTAGAAGAGCAGCTTGTTAAGGCCAAAGAACAGATTGAAATTTACAAAAAGCAAACCAGAAATGGTAAGTGATTATACTGTACCCTTCCCCCAAATATGTTGACTTTAGTGCAAATAATTGAAAATATTCTCTTATCAAATGTTGGAAATGCTGATACTTTTTATTCTTTGATTGTAGGTCTTGGGAAGGATCATGAAATCCTAAGAAGGAGGATTGAAAATGGAGCTAAAGAGCTCTGGTTTTTTCTACAGAGTGAATTGAAAAAATTAAAGAATTTAGAAGGAAAGGAACTCCAAAGACATGCCGATGAATTTCTTTCAGATTTAGGACATCACGAAAGGTAATATTCTCCCTATACATTTCATTTGGGCTTCAATAAAGATTATAACTTAAGAATAAGAAACTGAAACTGTCTTTAATTTCTCTGTTGAATGGTAAAAGATAGTGTGTTTAAGAGCAATACCTGATATCTCCAAGGATAGTAGTTGCCAAATGCAGTTAAGTAAGATATCATGGGAAAATATTATTTAAAATGTTTTTCTGGGAATCTTTATGTCATATAAACTGTGAAGGTAGTGGTGTCCAACAGCAATACATTAAAATATCTTCATATAAATGTCCTTCATAATAAATTTAATATTTGAAGCAGAGCATGTAGTTTTGCATTATAGTATGTTGCAATTCACACTGGGGCTGCAGTGAATATTTCTAATTCAAACAATAAAAACTTTAAAATAGCACCTTTTAAGATTGTTACTTAGCAGTTAATGAGTTTGGATAAAAAGTTTATTGCTTGTCTAGTTAGTTTCTAGAAAAGGGAGAGAACTGGAGATCTGCCTACTTAATTTGTTTCTCACTATTTACGCATTTCTAAATAATGCACAAGTTTGTCATCTATAGGAAATAAAACATTTTGGTGCTACTGTGTTCATGCAGAATAAAATGTGTCTGAGAATCATTATAAATATAGTGAAACCTAGCCTTTGGCCTATTAGATTTTAAAGCCTATGTTCTCAGTAGGATTCTGATGGCAATTACTGTCTCATTAGTGAACAATAAAAGAAAAATTGTTGTATTAGCACAACTTACCACTGTGAAGTGGAAAAGAAATAACCATATAAGCAAAAGATTCATATATATATATATATATATATATATCATCAACAATATAATGATTTTGAAAAATTGCTCTGCTATTTTACGTAAAATTATAAATAAGTGTGTTGGATCTTTTTAGCATTAATAATTCTATAGAAATATGGTAGCATGGATTTAATAGGGCATTGAATTACTATACCCCACAATAGGCCATGCCTTTGAAATTTTTAGTTCAGCTTGCAGTTACACAAAATGTTGACCATTTTAGTCCTTAGTGTACCTTTACCCTAAAAGTGCTTGATTCTAGGCTTGAAGCTTTTGTTAAAATGGAGTTCTATGCTTGTGTGCTTTGCTTATTGCCCTTTTGTATGAAAATGCAGATTTAAAGAAGATTCAATATAGGTAGACTGTGGTATATAAAGGAGAAATTGGAATATTAACTGCTGGTAGAAAATTTAATTAAATTACTTGAGAATTTTATTTTCAGGTCTTTTCTAAATTAAAATAATTTATAAAAATATTTTGTAAATTATAAAAAGTGAATATAATAAATGGGTCCATGAAACATTGATATAAATCATTGTTATGTTTTTTGTTGAATTCTATTTTAAGTTTATTCCTGACACTGCCATTTAGTATGTGTTAGATAATGATATTTCACTGAAAACAAAATGGAAAGTACAGGTACCCAAGTTAGTTTCTTTTATTTCTTCAGCAGGAATTATAATCATTCTGGAATACAAATGATTAATAATTTAACTCCAGGAGGGCAAATTAGAATGCAGTAATACAACTGACGAGAAAACATTAGAGAAATAATCCTTAAAGTAGTAAATGTACAAACAGTAAATGGAAAATTGTATTACAAAGACATTTCCAGTATCTTTAAGAAGAAGAATTAAGCTGGCTCATGCCTAAAATCCTAACTACGTGGGAGGTTGAGATTGGGAGGATTATGGTTCTCAAAAACATTTGTGAGAATGTATAAATTTGCTTGTAAGAAAAATATATTATGAGGGAGGGGGCAGGGGGAAAGGGGGAGAAATGACCCAAACATTGTATGCACATATAAATAAAAGAAAAAAAATTAAAAAACAAAAAAAGAAAAATATATTATGTAGTTACTACTTGTAAGATTTCAATACTTTTATTTGAAAATTTTGGCTAAGGTTTGAGATTTAAAATTTCTCATTCAAATTGCTGGGGTAAGTTGCCATAATGAATCAATTAATAAAATTTATTGTTTGCCTATTAAAAGAAAACATCTGTGAGACACCCCATCTCAATGCAAAGAAGGTGGGTGTGGTGGTATGCATCTGTAATCCAGCAACACATGAAACATAAAATAGGAGGATCAAGGTCCAGGCCAGCCTGTGCAAAAAATAAGAGTCTATCTCCAAAAATAATAGAGCAGAAAGGGTTGGAGGTGTGCTCGAGTGGTAGAGCACCTGCCTAGTGAGTACAAAGCCCTGAGTTCATACTTTACTACCATATATACACATGCAAATCTGTTTTTATTTATTTTTATTAGTAGATTTTAATTTTTTAAGAACAGTACAGGATTTATAGAAAAATAGAGAAAACGGTGCAAGGAGTTCCCATATACCCCATAGCCAGATTCCCTTTTTATTTACATCTTATATTTGTGTGGTACATTTGTTACCTATTTTATTTTTGCACTTGCTCAAATTATAGGGTACAAGTTGTCACTAAAAGCCTATACATTCTAAAAAAATTAGAAGTCTATCAATGTTTTAATTTAGATTTGGCATTTATTTTAGTATGAGTTCCCTATGTATTTTGGATATTAACCCTTATCAGTATACAATTTGCAAGTATTTTCTCCCATTCCATAGGCATACTTTTCATTTTGTTGATTGCTTCCTTTGCTGTGCAGCAGAATCTTTTATGTGTGATGCAGTCCCATTAAATTCTGCTTTTGTTGCCCATGCTTTTGATCTTACATTGAGAAAATTATTGACATGCAGCTTTCCCCCTATGTTTTCTTCCAGTAGTTTCATGGTCTTCAGACTTACATTTAAGTTTCAAATCCATTTTCAGTTAATTTTGAATTTAGTGGAAGAGATACAAAATCCAATGAATATCCACTTTCATTCTTCTACATGTGAATATTCACTTTTCTAATACCATTTTTTGTTTTCCTGAGACCAGATCTCCCTATATAACTCATGCTGGCCTCAAACTAGAGATTCTCCTGTTTTTAGCTTCCCAAGTGTAGAGATTCCATGTCTAGCTTCCCAATGCCATTTATTCAAGATACTTATCTCTATTTTATATTCCTGGCTTCCTTATATCTGTGGGTTTATTTCTTGGTTCTCTGTTCTATCCCATTGGTCTGTTTCTTTGCTTATAAGCCAGTATCATGTTGTTATGACTATTATAGATTTGTAATAAAGCTTAGGGTCTGGGCCTCCTGCTTGCTAAGCATTTACTCTACCATTTGAACCATGTCCCTCAGCCCCTATAATATAGTCTGAAATAAGGAAATATGATGCCTCCAGATTTCTACTTTCTCAAAATTATTTTGGCAGTCTTTTGCAGTTCTCAAGACAATTTTAGGGTTGTTTTTTATATTTCTGTGAAAAAATGACATAGAAAATTTTATACGGACAATATTGAATCTGTGAACACTTTGGGTGGTATGGACATTTTTAACAATATTTATTCTTCTGATCCATGAACATGGAATATCTTTCCATTTATTTGTATCATATAGAATTTCTTTAATTAGTGTCTTATAATCTTACAGATCAGTGTACAGGTCTTTCTGTTTTTAAATTAAATTTATTCCTATATATTCTTTTTGATGCTGTTCTAAATGACATTATTTAATTCCTTTATTTGGATAGTTTGTTGGTTAGCATATGCAAATGTAAGTGGATTTTGGATGTTATTTTATGTCCTGCAGCTTTACCAAATTTCATTATTAGTCCTAATTTTTTTTTGATGTAGTCTTTAGAATTTTCTATATGTGTGATCATGTCATTTGCAAACAAGGACAATTAATTTTTCTTTTCTAATTTAGATACATTTTATTTCTTTTTCTTGCCTAATTATTCTAGCTAGGACTACTACCATGTTGAATAGAAGTAGAGTGGGCACATTTGTCTTGCTAATGATAGAAGAACAATGTTCCTCAGATTTTCACTGTTGAATGTGAGGTTAGTTTTGTGCTTATTGATGAGTTTTTGTCAAGAAGGTTTTTTCAATTTTGTCAAGTGCTTCTTCTGCATCTTTTGAGATGATTTCTGGCCTTCTCTTAATGTAATGAATCACATTTGCATATGTTGACCCATCCTTGCATCGCAGTGATAAATCTCAATTGTTCATAGTGTATGATGCTTGTAATATGATTTTAAATTTTGTTTGGTAGTATTTCATTTAGTACTTTTGCATCTAAATTCATTAAGAGATGTTGTCCAATGATTTTCTTTTCTTATAGCATCCTTATTTGGCTTTGATATGGGGTAATGCTGCCCTTGTAAAATGAGTTTGGAAATGTTTCCACTTTATAAATTTTATGGAAGAATTTGAGAAGGATTGGCAGTAATTTTTCTTTAAATGCTTGTGGACTCCACCTGTGATCTTATCTGGTCCAGAACTTTTTTTGTTAGGAGGTTTTTGATTACTGATCTAATCTTTTTACTTATTATTGGCTTCCTAAGATTTTCTGTTTCTTCATAATTCACTGTTGGGCCCCTCCCCTGCCCTGATGGCTGGGTGGATGCCTCGAGGAGATGGGGAGGACCAGTAGACAGGCAACAACTGCAGATTCTGTGCTGCCCCCCAATGCATGTAGAGAAGCATGCTGTCCAACTTGGCCTTCTTGAGGATCCTGTGGAAAATAAACATCTCGTTAACTCAGTAAGTCCTACCATTGTGTGTTAAGCACTTTGAAACCTTTGTGATCTGTTCTTTGAGAAAATACAATGCCAAAAATATTTGATATTACCAGTTATTTGAACGTGTCATGTAGTAGACACATAGAAAATGAATAAAAGAGTTGAGTGTGAGATAAATTCAGGATATTGGAACAGAAAAAAACCAACAAAACTTCTGAACAAGATCAAAAACATAAGGAAACAAACAACAATGCTCAACTCCAGTGCAGAAGAAGGAGTGACCAGCAAATGAGGACATTTTATCTTTAACACTTGAAGAGAAGGAAGACAAAGAGTATTTCAAATCTATATTTGAAACTTTGATCCTTGTGGCAGAACA